CCTGAACCGCCGTTTCGGTAGCCCGGTAAGCCCGGTACCGGTGCCAGACTACATGTACATGTATATTACGCGCGAGCGATCTGCCCGACGGACTACTGCATGCCCGCCTGACTAGAAAAAAATGTGGGGCGACAAGCACTTTAACTCGATATTCTTTGGTAAATTATGACCTCCCAGCAGTGCAAAATAACCTCCACTTTCTGATATATAAACAGGTTGGGTGGGGTATTGTCAAAACTTTTAAATGACTGGTATTTTAAGCAACATCCTCAGAGGTTGATAAATGAAACAGTCCTCTTTTCAGATTACACGTACATGTACTTTCAAAAACTACATAACATGTGGATCACTTTTACTTGAAAGGCTTTGAAAGAAAATTTGAAATTGTTTTCTTACACTGAAACTGTTTGTTTTAATTTGTCACTTTTTAATACCTTAAATAAAAAAAATAGTTCTGGAACTACGTACCAATCAAAAAGGAAAGAACAAAGCTACTCTTGACAAGAGTTTCAAGGATACAAGCATGTAAATTTATCACTTTTAATTGACAGACTATTGGTAAGTGGCCCTTTTGATTAATGGATCACGTACACAATCTCCAGAAATTATGCAGAATATGTGCTGAGAGAGTAAATCCATGGAAAATCCACAACAGGCAACCTAAGCTTTGCTCAGAAAATCAAGAGAAGATACAAGCAAAGTATAAAATCAATGTAGAAACTGATGAGCCACATTGCCACCCTCCCGTCATGTGCCATCTTTGCAGTTCAAATCTTTATCATGCAAAGCCTGTGCCAAATGATTGCCCCCTACCCCCCAGTAGGCCCCTGCTTCATTTGTGACAAGGTGAACATTTCTAAAAGAGGTGGTTGTCCTTCGAAAGGGAAGCGTGCTCGTCTTATGACTCTTGACAGGGAAGAGGAGAAAGCCAAGGCAACTGTGCAGAGGAACTTTGAGTGGCTTAGGCAAACAACGACTCCGACAATGAGGCAGGATTTTCAGTCAGATGATAGTTCTTTCATTTGCAAGTACTCTTCCAAAATTTTTAACA